ATTCTACTTATGAGGCAAAGAAGCATTTGTGGGAACGTTTCTTTGGATACTTTTCTCATATTCTGGAAAATAATCATATTATAGCCATTCCTACTTTGAAAAAAGTTGTTTTAGTCCAAGATTGGCATGTAATTGACTTTCTTGTGGAATAAGTTAGGTATGGCTTTGACGCCACTTTTACCTCCTCTATTGTCACCAATGTACCATCCACATCCACAACCACCTCCACTCCTCCATCCACCACGGTAAAACAAAGATGTGGTGAAACCTTCAGAAGGTGGCTACTTGGCAGAGGCTCCGCCTTTGCCAGATTGAGGACTTCGATGATTGATTTGCTTCTTATGGTTTGGCTCTTGATACTAGTTTATGTTGAAATTTGTGTATAGATATACATGATATAGCCTGAATGGAACAACACACGAATAAGTGGCTGGATTTGATGATTAATGAGCTGAAACTGCACTATGGTACTTGTTTTGCTTGATCAGGGCTCTCCATAAATTTGTTGAGGTTTTCATATTTGTAAAACCCGAGCTATACTTGATTTGGCTTATGCTGAACCAAATTTGTAACGAGAGAAATCTCGCTCTGAATGACTATTTCTCTGAAACTGAACTGAAGTTTAGAGATTCTGGATTATAGCTGACTTGTTTCTTGTGGCTCAATGAGCTTTTGGTTACTTCAATGTTTTGAAGATTTTTTGAGATCAAGTGATCATTTTGATTTTTTGGCTGTCTTTGATCTGTTCGCCTTCTCTCATATTTATAGGAAATGCTGGAGTGGGTTTTCTAATCTTTTAATAATGGGCTGTAGATTTTCTAAAAACAAGATCTTTTATTTTAGGCTTAATTATGTACATGCTCCCTGTGCTTTCCAACTTTATCTCAGGTTACCACCTGTGGTGGAAAACGTCTCAAAGTACCCCCCAACGTGCAAAAAACTGTCTCACGTTACCCTTTCCGTCAGTTTTTTTAAAGTTCCGTTACGAATGTTACTGTTCATCTCCCCCAAAATTCCAGAACAGTAGCCCCTCCCCTTTGTTACTGTTCAGCACTTATTTACCCTCCAAAACTAAGAAATTTCTCCTAACCAACACAACTAGCAGCAAGAACAACTCGAGAGGTTGAAAAATCATACCTGGATCGAAGAAAATGGTGCTCGGAATCGCCCGAACGAGCAATGGAGATTTTGGGTAAAAACCGGCCAATTTCTTGCTTTTTTCGGTGATCCAGACGACGGTTGGCAGCGGCTGAGATGTGAGGGTGGTAGAGGACAACGTGCTGATTCTTTTGATATCCATGTCGTCGCTTGGGGTGGCCGGAAGAGGCGATGGCAGCCCAAAAACTGGTGCGATGAACAGTAACAAATGGGAGGAGCTGCTGTTCTGGAATTTTGGGGGAGATGAACAGTAACGTTCGTAACGGAACTTCAAAAAAACTGACGGAAAGGGTAACGTGAGACAGTTTTTTGCACGTTGGGGGGTACTTTGAGACGTTTTCCACCACAGGTGGTAATCTGAGATAAGTTGGAAAGCACAGGGGGCATGTACATAATTAAGCCTTTATTTTAAATGTCAAAGAAAATGGGATTTTTATCTATTCTGGCAAACAAACCATCAACAGTCAGTTCATTGTGGTGATCACTTCTCCGCCTTTTGAAAGAAAACCTATCTTTGACCTTTATCTCCTTTTTGTAAGAGTTCAATATGCCATGATGGTTAGTTTGATTTTCCAGGTGAACAACTCCTTGCTCCCTACTTATCTTTTTTAGAAAATATAGCCTGCTTATCCCTTGGAAATGGCTGTTTTGGAGCAAAATTTTTCTGAATATAGAAAAGGATTTTGGTCTTCTTCCTTGTATGTAAAGACTGGAGAAATCTTCATGTAAGGTCTGCCTTCATTAATTCCCCATCAACTCTCTTGTGACTAGTTGAATTTGCTGACTTTTCAAAGTCAGGTAGTCATGTGGGTTTGCTTCAATTTTGGGCTCTTCTCTTTTTCATTTGATCACGCCAAGCCCAGGTTGAGTTTTGGGACAGTGGACTGATTTCTTTTCTCAGTTTTTTCAAAATCCAAGTTTACTCTCGTGGGCTAGGCTTTCTCGATTTTTGAGTTGTTTTCTCAGTTTCTTTAAATCAAGCCCAAGTTGTGCTTATGCCTTGTGGGTTTCAAAAATGGGCTGGGCTCCGCACAATTTTTAGGCCCAAACACCCCGCCCTTTTTGGGAACAACGAGCGCTAGAGGGATACGTTGTGGGCCCCGATTATGATGTATTTGGTTCCTACAACCCTCTTAGGCTGAGATGCTTGGGATGGTGCGCTGGGCCACAATAATATGAACATTTGTTTTTGCCTGGGCAGCCTTTCTTTACCTTGTTTGGGCTTGGGCACTTCAACCACTTTTGACATTATAGTTTCAATTCCATCAATTTTGCCATTGTGGTTTTGTATTTGCAACAATTCCAGAACAAGTTAGTTTTTTCGTCAATTTCTTTGAAGGTGCAAGGTATAATTTCGTCAACCCAAAACCCTTGAGTGTAAAAACTAGTCTGAAAATCTCCCTATTTCATATTAGGGCTTGAAATTTGCCATTTGGGTTTAGGGTTCTTTAAAAATTGGGATTGGTGGATAAATTTCGAGCCCTAATATGAAATGGGGTGAGTTTCAGGCAAGGTTTTACACTCAAGGGTTTTGGGTTGACGAAATTGCCCCTTGCACCGTCAAAGAAATTGACAAGAATACTAACTTGTCCCTGAATTGCTACAAATATGAAACTACAAGTGTAAAATTGATGGAATTGAAACTATAAGGTCAAAAGTAGTTGAAGTGCCAAACTACAGAGACCAAAAGTGACTTTTGGGAAAGAAAAAAAACTAATGAATAAACAGGTGGGAAATGAATAAACAACTAATGATGCATTTATTAGAAATGGAATACATCATTTGAAGCACTCGGCTAAGGAAGCCAACTCTGCTAAGCCAACAGAGAAATTGGACCACATATAGGCCCAACACATTTGAAGCCCAATCATGCCATTATAGAGTAATGGCCTAAGCATCATGCACATTAAACCCATTAATTATTCCACGTTTAGGTTAGACATAATTGACATGAATGCGGGATAATAGGTCTCGGGAGACTCAATAGGCACATGCCATGTAGACTAGGACGACGAGAAACCAATCACCAATAGATTGTATAAAAGCCAATTTCCACTTAATGAAAAAGGTAACTCTTTCTATAACTAAGAACCCGAAAATTCTGTGGTGCCTCAGCTGTACCGGTACAGTCCACTATCCAATGGCTGAGATTCCATGTTAAAAAAGGAAGGCTGAGATTCAATGACTTAGTAACCTATTAAGCCCCAGTTATTAAACACGTGAGTGGCATGTGAGGAAAGAGAAAGGCAGGTTTGGAGGATGAAGAAGACGCGCGCTCTCTTTTCTGGTTGCCCAAATCGAAAATCCTAAGAGCCCATCCAATCCTTAGCGCCTCCAGAAACTCTTCTCTTTGCTTGCCCAACTCCAATCCTTAGCGCCTCCAAGAACTCTTTTCTCTGCTTGCCCATTGTCTCTGCTTGCCGACGAACTCTTGGCTCTGCCCCAACGAAGTATTGGCTCTGCTTTGCCAGGAACTCTTCTCTCTCACTTGCCAAAATCCATCCTAAGCACGTCCAACTATTGTCTGTGCTTGGGCAAAACGCATTTGCAACAAGTAAATGCTCACTGATTTGAGGTCCTCAACTCTTCTCTCTGCTTGCCCAAAACTCATATGTAGATACCAAAGTGATGGTGGGTCCAACCTCCATGATGAAATGGTCACCAAATTGGAAGTATTTAATAAATTTAGTTTCTTCTGTTGGCATTGTCTGATATAGAATTTCAATTTCGCAGGGGAATGGATTTGTAATAACAACGTGGTTGTAAAGATTTTGAAGATCCTTGGCTGTTAAGTACGACATTTGAGTTGGTGGCAAAAGGAAGTGTAAGGAGGAGGCTTTGAAAGTATGGAAACATCAAGCAAGATTTCAAAGAACCCTCTTTTCTGGTTTAGGACTTGAAAGTATTTTGGGTAATGAGTTGATGCAATTGCATGTTTTTAGTTGCGAAACAATTATACATGGTGCAATTATTGACCCGAGTATGTGCAATTGCATAAGATTATTCATTTGTGTTTTTTTTTAAGAGAAAGTATGTTAGCACATAGAGTATAATGTAATTTCAGTTTGAAATTATGTTTCTTAGGCATGGAGGGGTCTGGTAAGATGGATAGAGGTGTAGAGACATCAGAGTGTGGTTGTAGTGATTCAGTGTATCTGGGTGGTTGTGAAAGGTCGAGTCACAGGGCACCGACAACAAAGAGTGGGCATATGTCAATCGAACATATGGTTAGTCAAAGTAGTGATGATAATGATGGTTAAAAGATTGGACCGAGAAAAGAAGATGGTCTGGGGAAAGAGTTTAAAACGATAGAATTAGCGGAAGAATATTATATGAGTTATGCAAAGGGCATTGGATTTAGAGTGAGAAAAGACAAATTGGTTCGAAATTCGGAATGGAGAGTATGTAGGAGACGGTGGTGTTGTTCTAAAGAAGGTTTGAGAAATGAGAAGTTTAATGATCGATCAGATAGGATTCGACCACCGAAGCCAATTACAAGAGAGAATTGTTCTGCCCATTTTTGGGTGGGTTATGAGAAAAAAGTGATGTTTACGTCGTTACGAATTTTGAACCACATAACAATCATCAACTAGTTACTCCACTTGAATCGCCATATCTCCCATGTAACCATGTCGTTCGAAATTTCGATTTAGCACAAGCAGTGGGAATGCGGAGAGCATTGTTTAGAACATGTCAAACATATGGTCGACCAATGTGGCGGGTATTTAAATGTTGGTTTTCAAATAAAGGATCTGTACAATAAGTTGGATGCATCACGCAGGGAAATTTTGCTTGACGGTGACACATAAACTGCACTCTCTTACTTGAAAGCGAAAGGAGCAATGGATCCAGAATTCTTTTGTAAGTTCAGTGTTGACGAGGAAAATAGGCTTGGTAATTTGTTTTGGAGGGACTCCACTTCACTTTTGGATTATATTGCCTACGACGACGTCCTCATATTCGACAGCACGTACAAAACAAATGTTTATGACAAGCCCCTAGTGTTGTTTGTTGGTTCGAACAACTACCATTCTACTGTAATGTTTGGTTGCGCATTATTGCAGGATGAGACATTTGAAACATACAAGTGGTTATTAGAAACATTCATGGCATCCATGAAAGATAAGAAGCCAATATCAATATTGACGGATGGCGATGAGGCGATGCGTAAAGCCATTGATGATGTGTTTCCCATGTCTAACCATCGGTTGTGCTCATGGCATGTGTCAAGGAATGCACAGAATAACTTGAAGGATGATGAATTGCTAAGAAATTTTCAGGCATGTATTTGGGAAACATTTGCATTGGACGAGTTTGAGAAAAAAATGGAAGGTTTTGAGGGAAAAAGCGAGTACTCTGAAACAAAAAGAATGGTTGGAAATGATGTATGCAAAAAGAGACTCATGGGCTGAATCATGTATGAGAGGAAAGTTTTTCGGTGGTATGTGCACCACTCAACGTGTGGAGTCCATGAACAAGTATGTGAAAGATTACTTGAGGAAAGGGGTGAAGTTGTTTGAATGTATTCCAGCAATTGATAGGGCTATGTTACGTCTTAGAAATACCACGGCGAAGGATGATTTCAACGCAAAGTACTCAACACCAGTCCTTAAAACCGCATTGACAAAACTCGAGCAACAAGCTTCTCTGATTTACACACATATGTGCTTTGTATTGGTACGTCATGAGATCGAATCTTGTTCAACACTCACCCATGATAATGTGATGCATAATTTTGGAGGTCCTGTATACGTATTGTCAAAATATGGTGAACCGCATAATAATTGGACTTGTGTTTACCACGGTGGGGAAAATATACGGATAGAGTGTGGATCCCGAAAATATGAAAGTGAAGGGATCCCGTGTTGCCACCTGTTTTATGTAATGAAGTGTGAGCACCTTATGGAAATTCCTCCAGCACTCATAATGAAGAGATGGACAAAGAGTGCCCAAACTGATACATGTAGGGAATTTATCGGCAAAGGCGAAGACACTACCAACGAAGTTGTAGAAATGGTGAGGTATGGAAGTTTAAGTGCTATGTCAAACAAAGTATGTTTTTATGCATTGAAGAGTGCAGATGGTTATGCCATGTTGATGAATGAGTTTAGTAGATGGGAGGGAATTTGTGAATGCTTACGGCAAAAGGAAGAAGAGACAAGTCTGAAATTGGGTAGTGCTGAACAATGTCCTCCAAATATTGTGAAAGATCCAAATATCGTTAAGACAAAAGGCACTCAAGCAAGGCAGGGTGGAACGCGCAAGCATCGACAATGTCATTTGTGTCGGGGATATGAACATACAAAGCGTAATTACTCTCAAAGAAACTTGCATCCAAGTAGAAATGCATGTGTGAATATCCCATCAGGTAGTCAAAGCTATCAGTATAGTTATGATAAAGGGCCGTCACCGGACATTAGCTACAGTTATCCTAGTCAAAAGGTTTCTGAATGCAGAGGCAACTATGTGGTTGATTTGTCAAGTTCTGATAGTTTTTCTACTGCAGACCCAACCAGTTCTACCCCCAATAGTGACGATGGTTTCTCATTCGACAATGGTGAACCTAATTCCCTATGTACCGGTTCAACCCAAAACAATTGTAGTTTTGGAACTTGGTTTACATGTAACAATTAACATTAAATGTAGATTTAGTGATGGACAAGATGCTTTCATATGAATGACCTATCATTATTTTATGTATGTATTGTTCAGAACAAAAGTATTTTCTTGGTTATCTTTGTCTTTGCTCTAGACATTAATTAGGTTTGCGTTTTTAAGGTATGTTTAGTTTGCCCATAGCCGGTTGGCATTTGCATTGCACACGTGCAATTGCGTGACGGTGATGCAATGCAAGACTGACTGTGCGCAAACCCATAATAAGGAAAAATGGATCATATTTTTTTGTACAGGCATAATTTGACCTATTTTTTGAACTATAAATCGAAGGGCAAAATGAACCGAAATACAGAGCATGTAAATAAATGGTAAGAGGCAATAAACCGAACATATTATATTACAAAACGACCAATTATCGAAATTACGTACTAATAGACATTGCCATTTAGCAAAAATGACTTCCCAAAAGATCCCGAATTTTGTAAAACACAATGTGATTAACCCTAATTTCAATAATAGACATAGGGTCGTAACAACGTATTTGCTTGGTTTTCGTTGTCTTTGTGCTATACATTAAATAAGTTTGCGTTTTAAAGCTATGTTTAGTTTGCACACAGTCGGTCTGCATTTGCATTTCACACATGCAATTGCATGACGGTGATGCAATGCAAGACTGACTGTGCACAAACCCATAATAAGCAAAAAATTTTGTACATGCATAATTAGACCTATTTTTTTAACTATAAATCGAAGGGCGAAATCAACTGAAATACAGAGCATGTAAATAAATGGTAAGGGGCAATAAGTCGAACATATTTTATTACAAATCGACCAATTATCGAAATTACATACTAATACACATTGCCATGTAGCACAAATGAGTTTCCAAAAGATCCCGAATTTCGTAAAACACAATGTGATTAACCCTAATTTCAATAATAGACATAGGGTCGTAACAACGTATTTGCTTGGTTTTCGTTGTCTTTGCGCTATACATTAAATAAGTTTGCGTTTTTAAGCTATGTTTAGTTTGCACACAGCTGGTCTGCATTTGCATTTCACACATACAATTGCATGACAGTGATGCAATGCAAGACTGACTGTGCGCAAACCCATAATAACAAAAAATGGATCATATTTTTTTGTACAGGCATAATTAGACCTATTTTTTTTAACTATAAATCGAAGGGAGAAATCAACTGAAATACAGAGCATGTAAATAAATGGTAAGGGGCAATAAGCCGAACATATTCTATTACAAATCGACCAATTATCGAAATTACGTCCTAATACAGATTGCCATGTAGCACAAATGACTTTCCAAAATATCCCCAATTTCATTAACCAAAATGTGATTAACCCTAATATTGAATAATACACAGAGTCCTAATAAAATTCGGAACTTCCTTTTCTTTGTCTTTGCACTATCCATTAATTAGGTTAGCGTTTTGAAGCTAGCTTTAGTTTGCACACAGCCGGTCAGCATTTGCATTGTAAACATGCAATTGCACGACGTTGATGCAATGCGAGAGTGACTGTGTGCAAACCCCTACAAAGGAAAAATGGATCAATTTTTTTTTTACTGGCATAATTAGACTTGTTTTTTGTACTATCAATTGAAGGCCGCAAAATGAACCGAAATATACTACATGAGAAACGATACGGGCCAATAAACTGAACATATTATTTTACAAAACGAAGATACCATGATCCGAAAAATGTCATTGTATCCATAATTTACTTGGTTTTCTTTCTCTTTGGGGTACGTGAACGAAGACTTTTCTCACCTTTGCGTTTTTGGTATGTGGAGGGTTGTTCTGCATCTAGATTACCCTTAGCTGCGGCCCCGTCCTCATCGGCATCCTCCTCCTCCTGATCCTCATCCTCATCCTCGTCTTCGATCCAAACTTCCTCTTCATCTCCCTCTTCATCTTCATCTTCGTCTTCGTCTTCCTCTTCTTCTTCCTCTTCTTCCTCTTCTTCTTCCTCTTCCTCATCTTCTTCATGCTCTTCTTGTATCACAAGTTTGGTCTTTCCTTTTCTACTTATGTCATGTTTAAATTTTGTGCGACACTCCTACATAAAGGGAAACATTGACATATATAAATAATCAATTTTGTTCAGTTTTGTTGTGCACACGAGTGATGATGGTTTGCATTGCAGAATGTAACATATTATTTAAAATTGCAAAATTGAACATCTTATAAATCGAACTTTACAATGGAGGTTGGAAGTAACAAACTTACATGTTCTGCATCATCATCTAAGACATGTTGAACAAGACCCGAACTTGCAATGGTTGTTCCTGAGGTGTTCTTCAATATCTCCTATTACAATATAACATCGTTCATGTTCAATACCATGGTTTGTTATTTCAATATAATATCCGTGATGTTTGTTAATTTTATGAAATTAGTATGAAATAAAGTTGAACTGACTCACATTCTCTTGCCGTAGGCGCCTGATCTCTATGCTTGCTTGCCATGCAGTTGAAAATAGTACAGCATTCAACCCAGCAATTAGGTCCAAAAGCTCAGTTGCAGCTTCAGCAGTTACCTACATTAAGGCACATCTAATTACAACAATGACCACCGGAAGCCCTCATGTATTAATAAATTCTGCAATAGAAGCTACTTACATGCGTGACACCATCAGGTAATGGTAGATCAAGGCTATCTTGCCCACGGGGTATCCGCACAAGTTTACTTTCATTTTCGGCGGCCCAGCATGGTATTCGTGTTGACCATAGCTGAGGAGAGATGTTTGCTACCCTTATCTTGGCCCCTTCTGGAGTTCGATGTTGTTCTTCCTTTGGAATTCAGGTATCATTTTAGAATTTTGAAAAATTATATGAATTTCATGCAGCAAGTGTAATTACATAACACGCGTTCAGTGTAGAACGTACCGCTTCACGTAAATCCGCATAGTGGCGATACTGTATGTACTCATCCCTTGGTTTGAAGACACGAACCCCGAACACCCCAGTAGCCATAGGACCTGATATTCGTTTTGCTGGCTTCCGTTTTTTCGAGCTTGAGGAAGCCACTGAAGAGTTACCCTTCGTACCCTTTGCAAGTATGGTCTTCGGGGCCCGGGAACCTTTATGAGATGCTCCTCCCTCAATGCACTTGTTCTTCATCCTCATTGTTCCTTCGACTATCCTTCATTATTGATTTAAAACAACAAACAATGAAATAGATTATCTCTACCTCAACATCAAACAATATAGTAACTCTTTTGACCAAAAATAAAACAATACAGTAACATGACATAATCTTAACATACATTCAAAAACATTTCACAAGCTTCCGTACTCATTGCATTTCTTTCTCTATGTTGTTTACAAACAAAAATTCATTCATTCCCAGCCCATTAGGCATTGCCTCATATGCGAATTGTTAACTGAAGGCTTCATTTCAATTAGGAATCTCTTATGCAGTTAAGAACGGATAATTTGTGGATTCACTTCAATAAAGCAGTTCTTTTGTTTATATCAGAAACTAAACTATACATTAGGTCGTCACTGGTTGTATTGAATAATACAACAAACAGGGAGTAGATTGCAGTAGAAGGATGCAGACAAAATAACAGAAAAATACACAAACACACACACATTGCTCCAACAAAACCCACAAACATCAATACCATACCAAACAATATCAACAAGTAATACACTACATGAAAATCAATATGCAGTCTCCACATTGTACTTTTGATGACAGTCTCCCTTCATAATTTATAAAATAGTAGATTTGCCAACATTAAGAAAGCAAGGCCAACCATTCGGAGCTATTGCTATTGCTCTAAATTATCACCTATCTCCTATAAAATCATGTTTTTAGTGTAAAACGCAATGGAACTAACAAACTGAATTATGCAGAACATCAAAACACAAGTAAGATAGAAAAGGATCAAAGCACACCTTTAATAGGATTGCATCCAGTATTGGTCTTCCTACCCAAAGACTTTGATAACTAAAGACTCATTTGCAAGAGAAATTTTCATAACTAATAGATAAGGGCAAAGTTATATATCCACAAAAAAATTTAGGTTCCATCAAGCTTTCAACACATCAAAATGAACACAAACATAACATAAGTCATAACTTCTTTTTTCCCCATAAATCTCTACTTTGATTGATGCCATAAGGAAAGCTGCAATCAACCAGATCTAATTCCCTAAACAAATAATGAGTAGAAATTTTGCTTCATAGTATTAGTACCTCTACCTTCTCATCCCCATCCCCATAAAAGTTATATATCCCCAACAAATAATTTGTGTCTCTGCCTTTTATTACGTAAACTTCACAACAGATAATTTGATTAGTTTCTTATGTTCAATCATCAATCTAAAAGCTCCCTCCACATTCTAATTGTTCTAATCAGCAACAGAAAATGATAAAGAAGAACCATGTCTCATCCCTCGCACGTTTCTAATTTGGACACAGAATTTCCATTCCAATGCTGTTTCTTCACGGGCCCATAAGAAAACAGAAAAAAAAAATTAAAACAGGCATGAAAGTTTGATATAATTCCATGAACACTTTTCTTATCTTATTTTTAAGATCTAAAAACAACATAATAACAAGCATACAGTAATATGAATTTATGAGTTTTGGGTTGAGTAAATAATCCAGCAAAAAAAGCAAACAGAGATTGAAATTTTCAGAAAATAAATCGCTCAATAAAAGTAAATAAAATGCAAACAGAGATTGGAAATAACAATATTGAAGATTAAGCATTTACAGAAGAGTGAGAAATTCACCTTTGGTAGAGAGAGAGTCTTCAATGGCAAAGTGACGAGAAAGAGTGCGCAGCTGCGTCAAGGGGAGAAAAAAAAGAGCGCGTCTGCTGGAAGCTGCAACCTACTCCAGAGAATATGGATAATGATCTGCACGAACTGCTGATGGAGGACAGAGATGGTTAGACAAAGAATTGAAGGAGGAAAAGAAACAAAAAGAAAAGAAGAAAAAAGAAAGCCAGAATCGAACCTGCTTGCGTGACGACGACGCGACGATTGAGAGAGCTTTGGCGGCGCGACGACTGAAGAAGAACAAGGATGAGGTTTCAGTTTCACGTAGAGAGAGAGAGAGAGAGAGAGAGAGAGAGAGAGAGAGAGGAAATCAAATAGAAGAAGGAAAAGAAACCTAAGTCTGTTTTAGTTGTGATGATCCTGAGTGTGTGTGTGTACGGTAAAATTTTAGACACCCAATACAAAACAGACACATGTTAACTATATATATAATATATAAAATATTAAAAAATATATTAATTAATTATATTGGACCGGTTCAGATTGGACCGGTTCCTTGTAGTAGAAAATCGGAATCGGAACCGGTCTGGTTCGGATTTGACTCGATTTTTGACTTTTTTTAGTCAACGCAGTTTTTTTCCAATTTTTTCAATTTGGTTTGGTTCGGTTTTGCGGTTCTAATGCCCACCCCTAGAATTGAAGGGTTTGGGCTTTACAAATCGTATGAATTGAGTTTGGGCTTTAAGGTTCAAATTCAAGTGTTTAGGGTTTATGGTTCGTTGTTGTTTAGGCTTAACGGTTAACATTGAATTGGGTTGGGCTTGAGGGGTGAAATTGAATTGGGTTTGAGCTTTTGGGTTGAAATTGAAATGGGTTTGGGCTTTAGGGTTAAAATTGAATTGAGTTTGGGCTTTACGGTTAAAATTGAATTGGGTTTGGGCTTTCGGGTTGAAATTGAAATGGGTTTGGGCTTTAGGGTTAAAATTGAATTGGGTTTGGACTTTAGGGTTAAAATTGAATTGGGTTGGGTTTTAGGGATCGTATGAAATGGGTTTCGGCTTTGTGGTTAAAACTCAAGTTAGGGTTTATGGTTGACGATTTATAGTTCAAATTGAAGGGTTTGGGCTTTACGAATCGTATGAATTGGTTTTGGGCTATATGATTCAAATTCAAGTGTTTAAGGTTTAGGGTTTGTGGTTTATGCTTAAAAGTTAAAATGGAAATGGGTTGGGCTTTACGGTTAAAATTGAATTGGGTTTGTGCTTTAAGGATCGTATCAATTGGGGTTGGGCTTTATGATTAAAATTCAAGGGTTTAGGATTTACGGTTAAAATTTAGAGTTGGGCTCTATGGTTAACACTGAATTGGGTTTGGGCTTTAGGGTTCAAAGTATGGTTTATGTTTAAAATTGTATTGGATTCAGGTTATACACTGGCCCCAAGCTTGGGTTTTAATATTTTTAACTGATTCAAGTAGTATGTGATTGTCATATATAATTTTTAAAAGTAGCGATACCCGGAAAAATGTTCACGTAAGGGTTACCCGAAAAAATTAACCCAACCAACAAATGTTTTCAAATAAACCACGTTTTTTGTTCAGACAAACGAAATGATTGCATTTAGGGGTGGGCATCGGGACTGGAAAACCAGAACACCGAATCGAACTGGTGAAAAAAACCGAAAAAAAAAATGGTTGACCAAAAAAGTCAACAAACTGGACCGGAACCGAAACAAACTAGTTCCAACCGGTTTCGGTTCCGGTTTTACACCACACCATACCGCACCGGACCAAACCGGACCGGTCATATATATATTTTTTATTTTTACAAAATTTTGAAATATAATGCCATATTTTAAATTTGATAATCACTATTTTTCCAAGTTCAACTTCAAAAAATTTCTAAATGTATGAATTGGATTATTTGTTAATTTTTAAGCCAAAAAAATAAGTTATTTATTATAATTTTTTTAAAAAAATATTAAATTAATAATAAATTAATAATCCGATTCAAAACCGAAACTGGACCAGAACCGGTCATAACCGAACTGGTTAAATAGTACCGAGTTCGGTTTCGGTTTCGATTTGAAGTGAGAACTGGACCGAACTGGATCGAGCCCACCCCTAATTGCGTTTGTTGAGAAAAGTTAGCTGTTCGCCCAAAAAATGTCCCCAACCAAACAAACGGAGTGTGGCTTATACTGAACGCAAGGGTTGCATTCATTCAGTAAAGTTAAACGTTCCCCCAAAATTGGGCCCAACCAACTTACTTTTTCAAACAAACGGAGTGTTTGTTCTAGAGAATGCAACTATTGCGTTGGTTAAGTAAAGTTACTCGTTCCCCCAAAAATGGGCTCAACCAACTTACTTTTTCAAACAAACGGAGTGTTTGTTCTAACGAACACAAGAGTTGCGTTCGTTCAGTAAAGTTATCCGTTCCCCGAAAAACGGGACCAACCAACATAGTAATTTAAACAAATGGGGTATTTGTTTGCACGAACGGAATACGTGCGTTTGTAGAAAAAAGTTACCCATTCGCTCAAAAAAAGCCCCAACAACCTTACTTTTTCAAACAAACGAGATACTTCTTCAAAAGAACGCAAGAGGTACGTTAGTTGAGGAAAGTTTTCTGTTCGCGGAAAAAATATATATCCAACCAACTTACTTTTTCAAACAAACGGAGTGATTGTTCTAGCGAACGCAGGTGTTGCATTCGTTCAGTAAAGTTACCTGTTCCCCCAAAAATGAGCCCAACGAACTTACTTTTTCAAACAAACGGAGTGTTTCTTCTAGCGAACGCAAGGTTTGCGTTCGTTCAGTAAAGATACCCGTTCCTCGAAAAATAGACCAAACCAACTTACTTTTTCAAACAAACGGAAAGGTTTGCTTTCACTCAGAACAATTAGACGTTCCGACGGAAAAGATGGCCAACAATGTTACTTTTTCAAACCAACAAGGTTTTTGTTCACACAAATGTAATATGTGCGTTCGTGGAG